ACTCACCGATAGTCCCAGTGTTGCAGAACATACAGCCTCATGCTACATAACTAAGCTCCATTTCATGCTGAATCAACTAAATTATTTATGTATCTTAAATAGAAAACTATCTTACGATAGATTTTTACCCCAAAAGTTTTTTATTAAAATAAATTCGATAAAAATCAAAAAAATCTGATTTAAATTAAAAAAATCCGATTTAAATAAAAAAAATCTGATTTTTTTGATTTTTTTTTTAAAAAATCATTGATTTTTATCCACCCTGCTCCCAATACCATCTTTTTTGGTAGTTCCGTTGTCTTATTTGTTTATTTATCAATCAATCACTCAGATCTGTATGCTGCCCAACAATTCTGGATGGTAGAAGGCATGGAAAGATCTTCTGACGTTTAAAGAGCCGCTGCCTAAACGCATTAAACCAGGCTGTGCGCATTTTAGCAATAAGAATTTAAACACGGTAAAGGACCTCCCCCCCCCACAAAAAAAATCTATTATGAAGTCATATGGGAAGGAAAGGAGCATGCCTTGTGATCTGCAAAATCCACCCAATTGATCCAACCAATTAAGAGGGAGTTAAATTTACCCCCAAACAAACGCAGTCATGCACAGGGTCAAACGAGCTTCCTCTCTATCTTCTGACATCTATAATTAAAACATAGCCTTAGCGACAAAGGTCTTAGTGAGCAAAGAAATAACCACAGAGACTAAATGCCTAGCGAGCACTCGTTTCTCATGACAAATGGGACTCGCTAGGCCCTTAGTCTCTGTGGTTATTTTCTTGCTCGCTAAGACTAGGGGCTCCTTGTAGAATGGTTTTAAAAAAGGGTCAGAAATATATGACTGTTTGAAAAGTTTTAAATATGACGGGATTATAACAGCCTACCGTCCAATCAGAAAAAACAGGAATGCTTAGTGTTTTTCAAATTTCATTTCCTTCTGATTTAACTGGTTAAAAATTTGTCCTTTAGTAAGGTGTAATTAGTAGATTCACAAATTGTGTCTACTGCGGTGTGAACCAGTGGTGGGTTGCTCCCGGTTCGCACCGGTTCGCAAGAACCGGTAGTAAAAATTTGTAGTAGTTCAGGGAACCGGTAATAACATTGGCTGGCCACGCCCCCGAACTGGTCTCCGGCCCGGTCGCCGTTCACTTACCCCGCCCACCTCATCAGAGGCTTTTTTTTTTAATTTTTAAAAGCATTTTTTCTAATTTAATTTAATTTAATTTAATTTAATTTAATTTAATTTATCGCATTTCTATGCCATCCAACTCCCAAGGGATCAGCTTCTTGGTTCAAGGTTAGAGATGTTCCTTCAAGAACTATGAATCAACATCAGGTTCTTGGTTCAAAGGTTAGAGATGTTCCTTCAAGAAATATGAACCAGGATCAGTTCTTGGCTCAAGGTTAGAGATGTTCCTTCAAGAACTATGAATCAAGATCAGCTTCTTGGTTCAAGGTTAGAGATGTTTCTTCAAGTACTATGAATCAACATCAGCTTCTTGGCTCAAGGTTAGAGATGTTCCTTCAAGAAATATGAACCAGGATCAGTTCTTGGTTTAAGATTAGAGATGTTCCTTCAAGAACTATGAACCAGATCAGCTTCTTGGCTCAGGGTTAAAGATGTTCCTTCAGAACTATGAATCAAGATCAGCTTCTTGGCTCAAGGTTAGAGATGTTGCCGGCCTGGGAACACTTGAACAGGAAAGGAATAGAACTCCAACAAGATTTTCCCCAGGGAACTGAGTTTAAACCTCCTCTGAAGTTTTCAGCTGTTTCTTCTGCCTAGGTAGTCCAGTCCTCTGGCCAGGTGCCAGGGGAAGGGAATTCTCCTGCCTCAGCTGTTTTAGAAGGACCAGGCCCTTTACGTCAGCAAAAAAAAAATACGCTGTGCCAGCCAAAACCAAGCCTATTTTTGTGAAATGGGGCCTCCTCTTTTGTGCCAATATTGCCCAGGCACTCCCCTCCTGCTTACAGATGACCTCTATGCTCCTTTTGGGGAGGGAACCTGTGTTTGCAACGTTAAAATGTACATTGGAGTGACTGGTTTTTCTTTCACAGTGGTATATTTTACTTTTTTCCTATTGTAATTTTATGAAGCGTTACCAGATAAAAATTAATTAAAATCTGCAAAAAGTAAAAAGAACAAAAAGAAGGAACAGGAAGGGCAGGGGAAAAAAAAAAGAGAAAAACTGAAAAGGGAAAAAAGAAGCTAGCAAAGGAAAACGTAAAGAATGAACTTTCTCCATTGTCACAACAAGCCTAGACAATTTGAACAACTTATTGCCTTCTCTTAAAATACAACCAACAATCTCTAAATCCAGTGGTGGGATTCAAGTAATTTAACAACCGGTTCTCTGCCCTAATGATTTCTTCCAACAACCAGTTTACCAAACTGCTCAGAAATTTAACAACCGGTTCTCCCGAAGTGGTGCGAACCGGCTGAATCCCATCATTGTCTACATTCCATAGCTCAGCTCTTTATCGATAAACAAATCCTTAAAACCTGGTCATTCAGTCCTGGTGAGCCACACACGGTTAAGGGTTTCTTTATTTATTTCTTTATCAAATTGTGCACATCTTCCACCTCACTATCTTGGCAGTTTAAAGGTAAAAGTTCCCCTCGCACATCTGTGCTAGTCGTTCCCGACTCTAGGCGGCGGTGCTCATCTCTGTTTCAAAGCCGAAGAGCCAGCGCTGTCCGAAGACGTCTCCGTGGTCATGTGGCCGGCATGACTCAACGCCAAAGGCGCACGGAATGCTGTTCCCTTCCCACCAAAGGTGGTCCCTATTTTTCTACTTGCATTTTTACGTGCTTTCGAACTGCTAGGTTGGCCGAAGCTGGGACAAGTCACGGGAGCTCACCCCGTTACGCGGCACTAGGGATTCGAACCGCTGAACTGCTGACCTTTCGATCAACAGCGTTGAACTGCGTCCTTTGAAGCAAACATTACCAATATCATGATTATCATTACTCTTATTATTAGCACGGTTATTATGATTTTGCGTAAGTAAATGGACTCAGACAATACACTGTTGACTAAACACTTATGTATATTAAAGGAAAAAAATGTATTAAAAAAAAAACCCCTCCTTGAAATGGGTCTAAGTCTCATTTGGTGTCTTCTGTTTCTCCCCCAGGCTTTTAAAGGGAAAGGATACAAGGCAACTGTTGTATAGCTGCGGTGAGAATAAACTATGCAACGCAACCAGAGCTGGCAAGCATGTGAAGCCCGCTCTCAACAGTGTGTGTGTGTGTGTACGTGAATCATTTTTTATTATCAGAGAAAAAAAGAAAGAACAAGAAATCCAATTCTAGTTTTATTTATCAAGCAAGAAAAGGAAGGTCAGATGTTCTGGTGATTGGAGTTTGCAAATCCCCAGCGTTAAGCTAATAACCACCAGGTCGGCCCCTTTCTCTCTCTCTATGGATAAAGATATTCTACTCAGGCAGCCATTTTTTCCCCCTCAAACACACACACACACACACACACACAAAGATCTGCAATACACCTGGGCTTTTTGCATAAAAATGACATTAAAGGGACTTTTGATTTATGGTTTTGATGATTAGACAGGAAAGATGAGAGGAAGAAGAAGGATAGGATGTAACTTTAGAAAGAGAGGTTAAAAAGTATTTGCACTTGTAACTGCTTTAAAGAATATCAGAAGCCATTTCTTTATATGTTTTTCTCTTTCTTTTCTATTTTTCCTTCAACTTTTTTTCTTTTCTTGCATTTTTTCTTCCTTTCATTCTTCCCTCCCTCCCTCTCTCCTTCCTTCCTTCCTTCCCTTTTTCATTTCTTTCCTCCCTTCCCCTCCTTTCTCTTCCCTTCTCTTCCCTTCCCATTCCTCTTTCCTCCTTTCCCTTCCTTTCCTTCCTTCCCGTCCCTCCCTTTTTCATTTCTTTCCTCCCTTCCCTTCCTTTCCTTTCCCTTCCCTTCCCATCCCTTTTCTTCCCCTTCCTTCCTTCCCTGCCCCTCTCCCTTTCATTTCTTTCCTCTCTTCCCTTCCTTTCCCTTCTCTTCCCTTCCCATTCCTTCCCTTCCCTTTCATTTCTTTCCTTTCCCTTACCTTCCTTCCTTCCCTCCTTTTTTCATTTCTTTCCTCCCTTCCCTTCCTTTTCCTTCCCTTCCCTTCCCCTTCCTTCCCTGTCCCTTTCATTTCTTTCCTCCTTTCCCTTCCCTTCCTTCCTTCCTTCTCTCCCTTTTTCATTTCTTCCCTCCCTTCCCTTCCTTTTCCTTCCCATCCCATCCCTTTTCTTCCCCTTCCTTCCTTCCTTCTTTGTCCCTCTCCCTTTCATTTCTTTCCTTTCCCTTCCCCTTCCTTCCTTCCCTCCCCATCCTCCTTCCTTCCTCCCTCCCTCCCTCCTTTTCCTTCCCTTCCCGTCCCTTCCTCTTCTAGTAGTTTGCATTAGTTTTTATCTTCTTGTTTAAAAGTTCCAATAACACACAGACACACACCAATGCTCTGCAATTCTCTTCTTGAGAGACTCCTAGCACTGCACGGAGCCGCACTTAAATCTCGAAAGAATTTCCAAAGGGCAGGAAAAGGAACATCTGTAAAGATTTAGCAGGAAAACCATTTAACGCCAATAAGGCATCCATCAAGATGAAGATCCAGCTCCCTCGAGAAGTTCGTAACGCTGAGAGAGACGGAAGGAAAGAGAAAAGGACAAGCAGAACAAAGTGAAGGGACTTAACTGCAGTGGGAAGACCACTATCATCATCATCATCAAATATTGTTAGGGACAGATTGTCACGGAGAACATTTATCGATGCAGTTGCTAAGAGTTGACAATGACTTCATGACACATAATTCATCATAATCCATCATGCAGTTGTCCTTTCCAAGGGTGGGCTGAGCACAGACTCATGTTCTACTTAACCAGGGGTGGGCTTCAAAAATTTCAGTAAGGGGTTCTCTGCCCCGTTGCTGGGTGGGCATGGCCTAGTCGTCCTCCTGCACCATGGTGGGAGGGTGGGGGGGCTTTTTGCCCTCCCCAGACTCAGGAGGCTTTTTTCGAGCCTCCGGGAGGTCGAAAATGGCCTCCCCAGGCTCCGGAGGCCCTTCCAGCCTTCTCGAACTTACGGTAGGCCCGTTTTTCGCTCTCCCTGATCCTCCGTGCACACCCTGCGTGGGGACTCCTGGGAAGGGTGGGGTGGGGTGAGCGGGGCCAGCCAGGAGTGGGATTAGGGGGTTCTCTGACCTGTACAGAATCTTAGCTAGAGGTTCTCCCGAACCTCTGAAAACCCCCAGCAGCCCACCCCGGTAGTTAAATGGAGTGCCCACCCTGTACAGCTTAATGAAGCCTAAGAGATACTGAACACACCTCAATCAGAAAGAAGGACTGCTGATATTTTCCCCACGTCTGCTTACAATTCCCCATTCCCTATGCCTGGAACCAATTAAGCTGGCTATTAATTAAGGGGTCAGAAGTGCAACATGTATTTTTTTTAAAAAAAGGAATACACACACACACACACACACACACACACACACATATCTATCTATCTATCTATCTATCTATCTATCTATCTATCTATCTATCTATCTTTAGCCAGGTTCTTTAGCCAGGTTCTTCCTACGTAAACCAAGATTTTTATGCAGCCCTAGTTCAGTGAAATCACAATCCACTAGGGCTGAACTAGGGTTGCATAAAAATCTTGGTTTATGTAGGAAGAACCTGGCTAAAGAGAGATACACATAAAGCCTACACATTCAAGCCATTCCGGTTTCACATTCAAGCCATTCCATATGGTTGCACAATGGACTAGAAGCCTGCAAAATTCCTGCCTCCCCCCCCACTCCACACACGTATATTCTCGGTTTGTGCTTCTTGAGTCATACTAGGGTTGGGTAATCAAGCATTCCTGGGAAATTTGCATCCCGGGAATCGGGGAGGGGGCGATGTTTGGTGAATGCTTGGATAGTCAGGAAGAATTATAATTTCCTATCCAAGTCATGTCTGCCCCACCCAAAAGCATCTCTCGGTGGACGTATAAACTTCAGATGCTGAAGTGAAGCCATCTATTGTTTTTGAGCTAAACGAAGAAGAGAAATTTGTCGTGTCATGAACGGGGAGGTGAAAGAAAGATCTGCAAAAGAAGAAGAAGAAGAAGAAGAAGAAGGAGGAGAAGGAGAAGGAGAAGGAGAAGGAGAAGGAGAAGGAGAAGGAGAAGGAGAAGGAGAAGAAGGAGAAGGAGAAGGAGAAGGAGAAGGAGAAGGAGAAGGAGAAGAAGAAGAGGGAAAGTGCTTTTTCTATTTAAGATAATAAAGTTCTACTGACATAAGGCAAGATGGATAAGGGATTATGAGTCCTTTGTATATATTATGAGCATCATTCAGGATTATGATGAACAATGCGCTTAGAAAACTATAGAACGATGAAGCCCTAAGCACTCCTGGTGGGAATTCTCAACCTTGAACACAAAAAGAAACTTTCTTCAAGCTGGTGGAGGCCAGTTAGATCTTCTGGGTTAGGGTTAAAGGAGAACTTCAGAATGAGCACGGTCAACCAGGTCTACTGGACGATGAGTGGTGGCTTAAACCCCAGTGAATGGGGGGTGGGGTGGGGGGAAATGCAGAGATGATCTTGGGAAAGATACGAGAGAACCATTAAGGAGGGAAGGAAGGACCAAATTTGGAAGCTTGGAGAAGAGATTAAACAATCCAGAGATAGAACAAAAAGTAAGGTTAGAGATGTTCCTTCAAGAAATATGAATCAAGATCAGTTCTTGGCTCAAGGTTAGAGATGTTCCTTCTGGCTGGAGGGAAGCATCACGAGTGGCAAGAGCCTGGGGGGACCTTGTTCCAGTGGGACTGCATCATGGCCAGGAACTGGCTGACCATCTCAGCCTGCTGTGCCTCCAGGTGCCGTTATCTGGCCTTGCATTCCCGCAGGTCTTCCCTCTGCATGGAAAGCCTATGCTCCTAGTCCTCACTGAGGTGCTTCTGCTGAGCCTCCTTCTTGGCCAGATCCAATTTGAACTGAGCTGTTTTGCCAACTCTTTCTCGTGGTGGCTACTTAGCTCCAACAACTGCTTCCTGTTGGGGCCCTAAAGAGCCTGGGGGGGGCAGGCGAGGAGGGGCTGGGAGGGGAAGGGCATGTAGAGGCTGCTGAGGTGCCCCTCGACGCAAGTGACATCGTGTTGGCCATGCCCACCCAGTCATATGACCACCTAGCCACGGCCACCCAGCCAGTCATTAGGCAGATCATATTAGTGGTCTGTGGGATTTAAAATTATGTATTTAGTGGTCCCTGAGGTCCGAAAGGTTGGTGGACTAGAAGACCTCCAAGGACCCTTCCAACTCTGTTATTCTAAATTCTACCCCTGCTCAAAGTGTCTGCTCTATCTACCTCTGCAGAAAAAGGATGGGAATGGATGCTTTCTTTGCTCCTCGTTCGGATTATCGTGTTTGTCCTTCTGACAAGTTTTTGTGGCCGCAAGTCTGACTGGCACTTCTACCCTCCTGGCTCCATCACCAGCTCTTTTTGTAAGACCTGTCATCCCTCTTGGAGGAGAAACAAAAAAAGCCAGCTTGGCTGTCCTACTCTGCCACGACAGGAGCGTCCCTTGATCCTCTCAGAGGAGATTGTATTATTTTGGCAGATCGGTTTTTAAAAGACAGGAAGGCACTTTGCTGCGGCATGGGCCTGGAATAAGCAGCCTCCGCACTGGAAGTGCTGACAGACAAGAAGGACGGGAGAAGTAGAGGATGAAAATAAGTGGCTCTGGTTATAAAGGAAGATTGAGAGGGAAGGCAGAAAGGAGGAAAAACTGAAGATTGGCACTAGGAAGGAGCACTTGCTGGGAGGGAGGGAGGGAGGTAGAGGAAGAAAGGACAGAAGAAAGAAGGAGGAGAAGGGAAGGGAGGGAGGGAAGAAGGGAGGGAGGAAGGAAGGAAAAGACAGAGAATAAGAGGAAGGGTGGGAGGGAGAGAGAAAGGAAAAGACAGAGAAAAGAGGGAAGGAAAAGAGAGGAAGGAAAGAAAAGGAAGGGAGGGTAGTGAAGGGAAGGGAGGAAGGAAGGAATGAAAAGACAGAGAATGAGAGGGAGGGAGGGAGAAAGGAAAAGACAGAGAAAAGAGGCAAGGAAAAGACAGGAAGGAAAGAAAAGGAAGGAAGGAGGGAAGGAAGGAAGGAAAGAAAGAAAAGATGGATGGAAGGAAGGAAGGAAAGACAGAGAATGAGAGGGAGGGAGGGAGAAAGGAAAAGACAGAGAACAGAGGGAAAGAAAAGAGAAGGAAGGAAGGAAAGAAGGAAGGAAGGAAAGAAAGAAAAGATGGAAGGAAGGAAGGAAAAGACAGAGAATGAGTGGGAGGGAGAGAGGAAGGAAGGAAAAGATAGAGAAAGGAAGGAAAACAACAAACAGATCACACAACAAAAATCAAAAGAATGACTGGTAGGGAGGGACTGGTACTTTCCTGAAAGAAAGAAACTGAACACTTGGGCAGAAAACGAGAAAGAAGGAAGGACTACTGCTCTATGCTGGAAAGAAATACTGAGAGGACTTCTTTCTGGTAGGGTGTAAAATGAAATCTCTGCAATTCAGTAGAGGGATCCAAGCAAAAACCAGATCAATGACGTGACCCAGTTATGTCAAATTCAGATCCAACTTGCCTTTGAGCGCTGAGATACTTGGGGCTCAGTAGGGATGGGCAGGTTAGGAGTTCAGGACCTCGGACAGCTACAGGGATCAGAGATATGCTTCATTGAGGCCGAAGCTGAGTCCTGGACCTTCTCTTTTGTACATGAATTGTTTCCTCATACGTGTCTCCAAAACCTTGGGTCCTTCCCCAGAAACCCTTCGAAAGACTATATTTTTTTATTCTGAAAGAATGGGTGATTTTAAAGAGTAACAAATGCTTCAATTAAGACACTGGAATTCAGAACGAAACAATTCTACTTACAGATAGTTTTCAACCTACGACCATGCTGTTTAACCATGGTTTGAAGTTACAACAGCCTACAGGTGACCATGACCCATTTACAATGGCTGCAGGGCTTTGAAGACAAGTAATCACGATTTTTAATTTTCCTTTCTTCTGACAAGCAAAGTCAATTGGTGAAGCAGTTTACTTAATGACTGTGGGGTTTAAAATGGATCTGGTCATGCAATGATGTGCTTCACAATCGCTTCACTTAATGGCCAAACTCCAAGCCCAATTGTAGTTGTAAGTCAAGTAAGAAGAAGAAGTCAAGAGCCGAATGTCAACTCGCAAAGCATCCCTGCCCTGCTCTCAAGTTGCCATAGGAAAGGGGGGAATGGGAAACCGATGAAATGGCACGGCAGCCAAAGACAGATGTACATTCCAGACATATCTCTCTCAAGGCTGTATCCCACGGTTACCTACAGCAACCGGAGGGGAGTGATCTTTATAATCCGGCGAAACTGCTCCGTGGTGAATGTGATTGATGTGCCGACATGAAGCTCCTAATAAATAACTGGATTTCTTCTGAAGCTTGGCTCGAGGCTCATGATTTAATTTGGGCATCCATCGGAACCCTGACACTTTCTGTATTCCGTCCTTTCATGAATAGGACACAACAACATGCGAGACAAGCATATGGAGAAATGAAAGATTTTCTCTTCTTTGCCTTCATATTTTCCAACTATTCAACTTCCAAACTTCATTTTTTTTTGGGGTGGGGGGTGGGGATTTGGTTCAACTTCAATAACAGGAACAAAAATGTCCTTTAAGCCAACAACTGTTTAAAGAACCTAGGGTGCTGCTATATTATTCAAAAATGCCACTGCGATTAAAGCCTCGCGGAGAATAATTTGACTTTTCAGAAGAAATGAAATAAAAGTACGTGTACTGCTTTTGAACTCCCCAAGGTTATAATCGATATTAAGATCAATTTGACTCAGTCGTCCTTTTTTTTTTTATAAAAAAGGATCCTGACCAGTTTCGGAGCTTCAGGAACAAAGCTTTCCTGCAAAATGGGATTAACGTATCTTTCTGGTTGTGATAAGAACGACTGTAGCAAGAATAGTCATCTAATGGGGCAAAACTCACTTCACAAACGTCTCGCTTAACAACAGAAACGTTGGGGGTCAATTGTGATCGTTAAGTCGAGGAACCCCTGTACTCCAGAGCTTCCTCATTTTTGAAGGACACAAGCAAAGCATTATTTTTTTTTACAGATCTTAAACTAAGCAACAGATACAACGCACAATCCTTCATTGTTCGCTTCCACAAAAGATTCTTCGAACGATTTACCTCTATTATTTCCATTTGTTGAAAAAAATCCTGCCTTAGAAGTACACCTTAATGTGAAAAAAGAGATTAATATACAATGGTTGGGCTTCAAACACGCATATGCAGCGGGCCACGATATCGCTCGAAATCAAATCCATTTCCTCATTTAGATCCTTTCGGTTTTGACAATGGAGCTCGGCCTGAGCTGGCAATTAATCTCATCGGAAAAGAATTAAAAACGCCATGCCACTGAGCTGGCCTTGCCGTTAATAGATCAGTAACCGTTATTTTATTCTCGCCTGTTTGACGGGACAAATCCCGCAAACCCCCATTACAAAATTAAGGAAACCACGCAGACATTTACAAGGTGGGGGAAAGCAATTAGAAATAGAAGAAACCTTTTTATAGCCCTATGTTCCGAAATATATCCCGAAACCAACCGTCAGGCTCAAAACCAAAAATGATGCACTGAGATTCTTCCAGTTATTTCATTTTTTTTCATACCTGTTGACAACATCATGCCAAACTGAACACTCGATTATCTGCATCTACAATAAATACTCTGGGAGCTATTAAGAAGGCGCTGTCTTCACCCTCTTTCTCTCACACTTAATATCTGGGCGGAGTTTGCCTCTTATTCCTCTGGAATGCAGCCCCTCCCTCCTGGGAATCCACCTCCACACGATATTCCATCACATTGTGCGTGTGCTGATTTCAATTCCCAGAATGCCTCAGTCACCACGGGTCAGGACCCAAACCAAGAATGACAGATGGTGATTCTTCAAAAGCTGAGTTCTTTATTGTTTCCCACCTACAGACAGACTCTTGCCAGGCTAAATACTCAACTATCTGCTTCTAGAGGGGCGCCTCGCCGGCCTCTACACGCCCCTCCCCTCCCAGCTCCTCCTCGCCTGCCCCCCCCAGGCTCCTTAGTGCCCCAACAGGAAGCAGTTGTTGGAGCTAAGAAGCCACCACGAGAAAGAGTTGGCAAAACAGCTCTGTTCAAATTGGATCTGACCGAGAAGGAGGCTCAGCAGAAGCACGTCACTGAGGACTAGCAGCATAGGCTTTCCAAGCACAGGGAAGACCTCCGGGAGTGCAAGGCCAGGTACCAGCGCCTGGAGGCTCAGCAGGCTGAGATGGTCAGCCAGTTCCAGGCCATGATGCAGTCCCACTGGAACGAGGCCCTCCGGCTCTTCGCCAACAGTGGTGCTTCCCTCCAGCCTTCGCCCAAAGCCCCGTACCAGGAGGCCGAAGCAGACCCCAAGTCGGAATTTCTGCCCCCCATCCGATGCACACAAAAAGACCCCGAAGGGGGAGACTCTCTACAGCAACACAAACGTTCATGGCAGGTATCCGTCCCAGGGGCCGTAGTTTGAGGACCCCTGATTTATACCCCCGATATAAAAAATGCAAATAATTTTTCTGCGGACCACCAAAATTTTCTCACCGACCACCAGTTGGTGACCGCTGCTTTAGTGTTTGCTGATCTTTGAATTACCTTTGGCCGATTCAGATCGCTTAGGTAAATCCAGTGTATCGAAGTTCCGGTCCACATCGCCATTCTTCTTTCCTAAGCAGGAGACACAAGAAATGATCAAATCAACATGATTTTTTTGGGGGGCGGGGGGTCATGAATCAACGTAGCCCATTTCTACTTCATCCCAACATTGGGACAAACTGAACGGAAAGCTTTAAATTCACATCCACACCCATCGACCCCGATTCCCCCATCATCCATCACATGCATATTTTTTCCTTATGTAAGCTTGGGACATATTTACTGGACATGCAAATGAGGTTTTCATGAATGAGCAGAAACGACAAACAGGTGGCGGGATGTATGACTGATTGACTGACATACAGGTAGTCCTCAACGTACGACCGCAATCGGGGCCAGGATTTCTGTCGTTAAGTGAGTTATGCAAAATGTGATGATCTTTTTTTTTTTTTTTGGGGCCAAAGTTGTTAAGTGAATCCTGTAGTTGTTAATAGCAATAGCACTTAGATTTATATACCGCTTCGTAGTGCTTTTACACCCCTCTCTAAGCGGTTTACAGAGTCAGCCTGTTGCCCCCAACAATCTGGGTCCTCATTTTACCCACCTCGGAAGGAGGGAAGGCTGAGTCAACCTTGAGTCGGTCAGGATCAAAGATCTGGCTGTGGGCAGAGTTAGTTGGCAATACTGCATTATAAGCACTGGGAAGGAAGGAAGGAAGGAAGGAAGGAAGGAAGGAAGGAAGGAAGGAAGGAAGGAAGGAAGGAAAGAAGGAGGGAGGGAGGGAGGGAGGGAGGGAGGGAAGGAAGGAAGGAAGGAAGGAAGGAAGGAAGGAAGGAAGGAAGGAAGGAAGGAAGGAAAATAGTAATAGCCCTTAGACTTATATACTGCTTCACAGATCTTTCCATCCCTCTCTAAGTGGTTTAAAGAGTCAGCCTGTTGCCCCCAACAATCTGGGTCCTCATTGTACCCACCTCGGAATCTCCTGGTGAGATTCAAACTGCCAAATTGCAGGCAGCCGGCAGGCAGCAGAAGTAGCCTGCAGTACTGCATTCTAACCACTGCGCCACCAGAGCTCTTAATCCAACTTTCCCGTTGGTTTTGCTGGTCGGAAGCCAGCTGGGAAGGACATAAATGGGGATCAAGTGACCCCAGGATGCTGCAACGGTTATAAATACATTCCGATGGCCAAGAATCCCAATTTTGATCACACTGGAGATGCTGCAGTGGTTTTAATGGGAGAACTGGTCGCAAGTCACTATCTTCAGTGCCACTGTAACTGTGAACGGTCCCTAAACAAGTGGTTGTACGTTGAGGACTACCTATATTGTTAATGGTATTTGTACTGTGATCTTCGTCTCTAGAAACTCAAGGCAACAGACACGGCTTCTGCCTTCGTTTTATCACCCATCACCTCGCTGTAAGATAAATTAGATAAAAGAGAAAATAACTGGTAAGATCTAGCAATCTTAAAATCGAAAGGAGACTTGAATCGGGATCTCCTCAGGAGTAATTAACAACTTAATCACTTAATTAGTGGTTAAGACATCAGGCTAGAAAGCGGGAGACCATGAGTTCTAGTCCCGTTTTAGAAATGAAAGCGAGCTGGGTGACTTTGGGCCAATCACTAGGAGACAATGAGTTCTAGTCCCACCTTAAGCACAACAGCCAGCTGGGTGACTTTGGGCAATCACCACTAGGAGATGGTGAATTCTAGTCCTACCTTAGCCATGAAAGTGGCTGGGTGACTTTGGGCCAATCACTAGGAGAACAGTGAGTTCTAGTCTCACCTTAAGCAAAAAAGCCAGTTGGGTGACTTTGGGCAATCACCACTAGGAGATGGGAATTCTAGTCATGCCTTAGCCATGAAAGTGGCTGGGTGACTTTGGGCCAATCACTAGGAGATAGTGAGTTCTAGTCCCACCTTAAGCAAAAAAGCCAGTTGGGTGACTTTGGGCAATCACCACTAGGAGATGGGAATTCTAGTCATGCCTTAGCCATGAAAGTGGCTGGGTGACTTTGGGCCAATCACTAGGAGATTGTGAGTTCTAGTCCCACCTTAAGCAAAAAAGCCAGTTGGGTGACTTTGGGCAATCACCACTAGGAGATGGGAATTCTAGTCATGCCTTAGCCATGAAAGTGGCTGGGTGACTTTGGGCCAATCACTAGGAGACAGTGACTTCTAGTCCCACCTTAGGCACAGAAAACCGAGTGGGTGACTTTGGGCCAATCACCGGGAGACTGGGAGTTCTAGTCCTGCCTTTAGCCGTTAAAACCAGCTGAGTGATTAACTCAGTGACTTTGGGCCAGTTTCTCTCAGCCCAACCAGAGGTGGGGTTTCAGCAGGTTCTGACCAGTTCTGGAGAACCGGTAGTGGAAATTTTGAGTAGTTCGGAGAACCGGTAGTAAAAACTCTGACTGGCCCCGCCCCCATCTATTCTCTGCCTCCCAAGTCCCAGCTGATTGCGAGGAAATGGGGATTTTGCAGTATCCTTCCCCTGGAGTGGGGTGGGAATGGAGATTTTACAGTATCCTTCCCCTGCCACGCCCATCAACGCCCACCAAGCCATGCCACGCCCACCAAGCCACGCCCACAGAACTGGTACAGCCCAACCCACCTCCCCTGTGGGGGGAGGGAAATAGAAGGAGGAAGGTGTGTCGGATACATTCACCGCCTTGAGTGATTTGTAAAAACAAATAAAGGCAGGACATAAGCAAAGAAACAAACAAACCATATTCTAACTGTCTGGCCTGATTCTAGTTTTTTTCTAGAAGTCTGACAAGAGGAATTCATTTCTTTCCAATGCTCTAAGCCAGCGGTCACCAATTGGTGGTCCGTGGACCACTGGTGGTCTGTGAGAAAATTTTGGTGGTCCACAGAAAAATTATTTGCATTTTTTATATTGCACTAAATCAGGAGTCCTCAAACTACGGCCCCTGGGACGGATACATGCAATGAACGTTTGTGTTGCTGCAGAGAGTCTCTCCCTTCGGGGTCTTTTTGTGTGGGTCAGAGGGGGGCATAAATTCCGACTTGGGGTCTGCTTCAGCCTCCTGGTGTGGGGCTTTGGGCGAAGGCTGGAGGGAAGCACCACTGGTGGCGAAGAGCCGGAGGGCCTCGTTCCAGTGGGACTGCATCATGGCCTGGAACTGGCTGACCATCTCAGCCCACTGAGCCTCCAGGTGTCGGTACCTGGCCTTGCACTCCTGCGGGTCTTCCCTCTGCTTGGAAAGCCTATGCTCCTAGTCCTCAGTGAGGTGCTTCTGCTGAGCCTCCTTCTTGGTCAGATCCAATTTGAACTGAGCTGTTTTGCCAACTCTTTCTCATGGTGGCTGCTTAGCTCCAGCAACTGCTTCCTGTTGGGGCCCTAAGGAGCCCGGGTGGGCAGGCGAGGAGTGGCTCGGAGGGGAGGGACGAGTAGAGGCCGGCGAGGCGCCTCTCGACGTGAGTGACATTGAGTTGGCCACGCCCACCTAGTCACATGACCCCCTAGCTACGCCCACCCAGCCGGTTATTAGTCAGATCCTATTAGTGGTCCGCGGGATTTAAAATTATTAATTTAGTGGTCCCTGAGGTCCGAAAAGTTGGGGACCCCTGCTCTAAGCCAGTGAGAGTCTCACCACCCGCCCCTTTCCAAGAGTTTATATGCAATTTAAAAAAAAATCTTTAAAAATCTTCCCACTCAAATCTGAATGGGGGACAAGTCATTTAATCTCTTTTAATTATCTTAACTTTTGTATTGTATGTATTTTAATTTTGGCTGTTCACCGCCCTGAGTCCCTTTTGGGAGAAGGGCAGTATACGAATTAAATTAAAATAAAAATAAATAAAAAATTCCGAAAGAAAATCCAGCTTTTCTCCAGCTCAGAAAAGTTATGCACCTCAAGGCCACAGAGTGAGGCCTTTCTAGTCAGGAGCAGGATTTGGTTGTGTTTCTCATTTCTTTCTTTCTTTCTTTTTTTTAAACTTACCGGGAGGGGGAAAAAAATTGCAGCAAGGGAAATAAGTAAAAAAAATAAATAAACTAAAAATAAAAAATCCTTCCTGAGGTTCCACGAATTCAGGCATATTACAAACATAAAGCAGCTTTTAAAATGGTTCAGCAGTTTTTATCTCCATCGCTCAGAAATGTTTACCTCAGGGGAAATTCTGTGCGCAGGATTTTTTTTTTTTGTTCAATGAGTTTCGTGAACAACCTTTTAAACTTCTTCAAAAAGCCAGCTTGGCAAGGTTGGAAGATTGCCGTGAGGAAAACGAGGCAGTGGAAGACAAAGCTAATCTTCATTCCCCTCTCCGCTTCCCCTCTGGCAAACCAACAAGGTTAATAATAATAATAATAATAATAATAATAATAATAATAATAATAATAATAATATCAAGATCTTGAATGATCAAGAATGAGAAACTCAAGATCTTGTGGGACTTTAGGATTCAGACTGACAGGCACTTGGTCCACAACACACCTGACATAACAATAGTTGAAAAGAAAAAAGTATGGTTCATTGACATTGCAATACCTGGTGATGCACGGATTGAAGATAAGCAGCAAGAAAAAATCACAAAGTACCGGGACTTA